AAACAACGGCGCTTTCAGTCATACGGGCCCTCTTCGAATGTTAGGACGTTGAAACGTGCGAGCGCGCGCCCATTCACATCCATTTAGCAATCGGATCGGTCCAATAAGCAGTGAGTCAGTGTGTGGAAAAAGTGAAAAAAGTTGCCGGATCAGTAGTTATTAACAGGTTTCCATTCCATTCGAGTGCTAAGTGCATTTCGCAGTCAAATGCAGTGGTGTGTCCCCATTGGGCTTTTGTGTGTTTTTGAGTGATCGTTTGCTTTTTCGCAATGCATCTACGCGCGTGGCATTCAAATTGGTGTGGTGTTTTGTGAAATTTTGTGTTTAGAAATACCAGCAACTGATGCGCAAATATTGCAAATAATTTGAAAAGTTGCCTATTTGGGTTGTAGCCTGTTTTTGGTGTTGTGTATGCGAGCCTAAAGCAAGAACAAAAACAAAAAAAAAAAACAAAAACGAACGTTGGAGGGTCAAATGAATGCACAAAAAAAAGTTCACAAAAAAGGCCGGGTTGCTGTAGCTGTATTGTCAAAGTAACCGTTTATCTGCAACCAGCAGCCAACAGCAGCTATCGCAATGGCAACAAAAAAATTCAACGGCCGAAAAGCTCCAAATATACAACACAAAAAAATGCAGTTGCTGTAATAGTTTTTGTGGACGCGCAGCGATGCAACAGCACTGAATAACCACCAAACATGATTACAAGCGAGTCTGACAGGCATACAAATGCGATTTTTATTTTTGATCCAGAGCCGTAGTCAGTCAGCATCATTCAATGAAGGGAACTAAGCGGTTTGGTTGCACTTATGCCAAAGGCGTTGAAGTGGTAGTACAGAAGTTATACCTTAAATCCCAGCAGGCTCTGATATCTGACTCTAAAATATTCGTGGTCCACACTTAAATGCAAAATAATTTTATTCGTCTCTAAATCCCTCGCTGACGTAACATTTTTAGAGGATTAAACAACAAAATTGGATATCCATTTTTTGTGCGCAATCGATTTATGTCAAAACATTATATATTTTAATACCCTTAACGGCATTAAGCAGCGAAAGGTGTGCACCGATAGGCCCTACCTTCGAACCTCTGTCATTTGTGTGCGGGAAATCTTTCGCAGGCGCGGCGACATGTGTTTATCGTCCCGCCTGTGACCGGCAATAAACAAAACCATTCTTATCAACCGCGCAACAATCTTAGTTCATAAAGTTAACGTCATATTTAATGGGAATTTGGAATCCACCGGGCGCTGCGGTGTAGTGGTTAGAAGTGCGCATTGTCATGCCTGTCACTGTCAGCGCCTGGGATCGCGCCCAGTTTCCAACAAAAGCAAAGAAAAAGTTATTTCTTATCGCGGTCGTCCCTCAGCAGATAGTGCTAAACCTCCTGCTGTATGCCTCTCCTCTTTGCGAGACAACATCAGGGCGCACGTCAGAATTCGGGGGAGAACCTCGGCCATACAATAACATGTTGTGTAACCGTCAGCCTATTAGCCTATTATTATTTATGGATTGCACCTGAGAATAGCTGCTACGGGATAAAAGGTCTTAAGTGTACTCGTAGTAAGGTATGCTTGCTTAAAAGGCGACTAAAATCCAATCGTGTGGCTCGGGAATTGGGAGTATGACATTTGGCGTAAAACAGTGGGAATGCATCCCTTACTTGTGGCATAGTAATAGATTCGGGGTACCTCAACCATCACACAAAGCAGTACTGAAGGAGAGGAAAATGGTCGCACCTCTGCACTCCTCTCCAAAGTCGGGGTCAGCATGAGTCGGGGTTATCCGCTAACGGTTTTCCAGAGATGGTAAGGGTCTACTTGTATTTTCACAGAAGTGAAGCGAAATGAGGTGAAAGTAGGCGGCGAAACGCAGGGGTTGCCCGCACTCGTCTATATTCTGCATCGCCCAAGGCATCAGTGGCCTCTTGCAGGACGAAGGAGCTTGAAAGAATGCTGATGACAGATGCAAAAGGAGTCCAGCAGCTTAGCCCTTACTGCCCGCCCTAATATTCTCTCGAAATTTGACAATGTCCCTCAAAAAGTCGTTATCGCTGAGCGCGAGTAAAAGAATGCCTGGCGAAAAGCCTCATCTGTGGTATGGAGCTCGGACGTCCCTTGAAATTAGATTAGATTTAGTTATATTGGCTGGCTTTATCCATGATCCGATGGATGTTTATTCCAATCCTTTATCTTAAAAAAAAACAGTTAGTTTGGTCTATTAAAGCGTTTTATATCGTGTAAACACCGCAGCTTACTCCTAACCTGACCAAGAGAGTGACAAAGGAAATACAAAATGCTCTAGATTTGTTCAACACCACGACAGCAGCGACATTAGCAATTTGTCGGAAAGGCCTTTTACCTCGCGTATGTTCTCATAATTAGGAAATTCAAATCGCAGAAGAGTCCGAACTCAGTTAATATTGAGAGTATTCCTTTAGTTTAGCTAGAAATTGAAAGAATTTCGACCTAAACCCGCTTCTTAAGAAGAGAATAAACTCTCGATAAGCAGATATTTAACCTTGCAAGTTCATCTGCTTCGCAGTTTGGCTGTCCAAAAAAATATTTATGCCTGCAGAAATCTGAGGAAATGAACCACAAAAAATTTAGTGCGACTCCAGTTGTTAGCAGATATTCCGCCCCCGGAACCTTATTAAATATTTCTCTAATATCTATGTAATGCAAATGCGCATAATAAAGTCTGGATGCTATCAAGTGCTGCTTTGAGTATATGTTGTCTTGTGGGCTTAAGTGAGGATTCAGGTTGGTAAAGATGCTATATGCTCTGCATCAACTACTATTCGATCCATGCAAGACATTGATGGAGCGTTGGTTAATGTAACGGTTGCTCTTCGTCTCATTTTGGGTAAAACATGTTTGCTACGCCCACCTCTGAACCATCCTACTGTTCCCTGGAGAAATTTCTTAATCGCTCTGCTTTCTTTGAAGAGTGTTACGTTATTCAATCCTTCGGTCAAACGTGTAGACTAGTAATACTTCTAGAGATCAAATCCTTCTTTTCATTTTCCTGTAATTTAAAAATTCACTGAGCTCAGAGATGCTCCATTTCCAGAAAATTGATGGAACTTAATTTTTACAAGCTTATTTACATAACTTGCTCTGTATGTATGTATGTATGTAAGTATTTTCGTCATGGGCAAATCTGGCAATCAATTTTCGACCAACTTCCCGATGACCTGGATACTTGAAACTTCACAATTGGCTCAGAACCCGATGACAATGCTATACAAAAGATGAGTTAATCCGATAGGTGGCGCAGGAGTTGAGAAATTTGGTAAAGCAGTATTTATGGTCCGATTTCGTACAAACTTAGATAGCTTTCTTTCAAAATATTAATTTTTTCTATTCCGTTATTTTTAATATTATAATCGTTAAGTGTATTTGATGCTTTAAATTACAAAATATTTTTTAACAAAATTTCTTGTCTTGAAATGCCCTCCTAAGCAGAAACCCTCCGTCAGCGTTGAAATGGATTACACTGTGACGGCTACCGTTGTTGCCATAGTAATTTTTCTATTGTAATCTTTGTTGTTATTGCTGCTGTTGGCCATTGTTACCTCTGCACTCGTGCATACGTAAATAAATAAATTTGCTACCTTTAAGCTTCGAAGCGATGAGCGCGACCGCGAGCACACAAAGGTAACTTCAACGCCTCGAATTGTTGAACATTTAGTTTGCGCGATGACGAAATGTGAAGCGATACAAAGCAAGCGAAAAAAGCTAGTAAATAAAAAAATAAATAAAAAATTAATACTCAAGCATACATACATGCATATGTACATACATATTTATATGCGCAAACCAACTATGGACGAGTGTAAATAAACCTTTTTGATAGGAACAAAAACCAGTATTAGTGAATCCGAAAATGAAAAAAAAATTAAAATAAAAAAATTAAATAAAGAACCTTGAAAATATAAAAAACGGTGCTTTAGTGTACGCTTGCGAGTGAAAAATGTCCAACACCAACTACCGACAATATTGCTTTCGCAACAAACTTTGCATTGTATTTTAGTATTAAAATACTCATCGTCTACGTCTACTCGTCGCTTTCAATAATTTCGTTTAGGAATTATTTAAGTCGCGCGCTGCCGCTTCAAGAAGCTGAGTGTTATAATTGTCATAATGAAAAGCTTGAAAATTACCGTTGTAACGCATAGCCGGAAAAACTGCATATTTTACCGCAACACCACCACCATAACCGCTGCGGAAAAGCTGCATACTAAATATCTTTGTATGTACGTCGCTTGACGGCTCGCTAGCTCGCTAGCTGGTTGGCGTGTTTTGTGTTTTTGTTATGTATGAAAAATGCGAAAAATTAACAAAAACGGCGCATAAAACCGATAGTGGTGAAGGCAATTTGCAAACAAATAAACAAGCAGTCAAACAAAAAAAAAGCCCACCTATTTACAAATGTACACAACAAAAAAAAAATTAATGAACGTTAAGTTCAGTGATCGTGTCTATGACGGCGGCAAAGCCGGCTTCCGCATTCGACACTAACAAAGGCACACTTGCTGGATTATATTTAAATCGAATCATTGTTTGTTGGCTACTATGCTTATTGTTGTTGTTGTTGTTAGTATTTTTTCGAATTTCAAGTTTTGTGCAGAGTAAAAAAGTTTGGGGCAAGCGTAACTACTATGCAAAGATATGCACATAAAGACATAAAATTTCACAGTTGCCAACTCAGTTCTACAATACATAATATTCGTTTTTAAATATATATATAAATGTTTACAATGTACACAAGTAAACATGAACTCATTCTAATACCTTAATTGGGTTAATTTTAATTGTAGCACAGCTTATCTAACTCCCACTTATCAGTTGAGCACCTATGCGTAGGTGGAAGGGCACTAGGGTGATCGGTCATCATTTTTAACATCGACTTTGTGTTCTTTTTTACATATTTTTCTTAATATATATTTAATGCTGAATCGGAGGGGCCGCGCTCCCTTGAACAACCTCTTCCCATTTACCTTAAAAGCAGCTACATTTGTAATGTATCCCCATTAGGGCGGGTCAATTTTTTTGAATATGCGCGTATAGCATAGCAGGATTCTACGTGTAATTGTAAGCAATTTTACCGAAGAAA